CTCATTTGCAAATATAAATTTTCATCTTGGTAGATATTCTGGTTTATAATTAAACTTTTTTTTTTCTCTTGACAAGGCTTTACTAAAATGCAAACTCCCTTATGCAAGTTTTGAGGTTTGCTTCTTTCCTTCAGTCCTGATGGCCACGCCTCATTCTCTCATACTTTATTCTCTCACTTGGCCACCATGTGCATGCATGCATGCACACACACACACACACACACACACACACACACATTCCTCCTTCTTAGATCATTTGGCTAGGTAATTTCTAAGAACCTTTCTCTCAGGTGTAACATTTTTTTGAGTTTCACTATGTGGATTGAGATTGAGTGTGATGTCTAACTCTGCACCCTATCTTCACCTCTCCCCCCCCCATAGCTTTTTTCTTGATTCTGTATAGATAGATAATAGCACTGGGCCTAGTCCCTTTGATGGCTGGGAGAAGGAACCTGTCTGGGATCCTTTAGCATCAACAAAACATGTTTTTCTTTTAGTGAGGGGATTAGAGAGATGAATGTGTCAGGGAGGAAAGAAATAATCTCAGAACTCAAAGAAATGGGAGTCAATGGGACCAGCAGTTAGCATAATGGCTATGTTGCTGGACTCCCATGTAGTTGACTGCAGTTCAAGTCCTGGACCCAGTGGCTTAAACTCACACTGGGCACGTGTGCATGCGTGCCCAAGATCCTGAGAGGAGAATGGAAGAGAAGGGATTGCGGCCTGGCCATCCCCCCTGGGGGTGATTTCTCGCTTTCTCTCAGTCTCTGTCTTTCTGGAGAGCGCACGTGCCCTAAAGCAAAAAACCTCTCCAAAAAACAAACAAACAAAAAAACGGGAGTCAAAGGGCAAAACAAGTATTGGTCCATTGCCTCATCTTTACTTGGCGTAAGAATTAGCATTAAAGTGGAAAGGAGGAGAGATATTTCTGGGATACAAGAGGAATTTTGTTTCCTAGATTTAAATAGATTTATAATGAGTGACTGGCCATATTCATATTTGTGGAAAGTACTATATGGCAAGGATAGCGGCTAAATGTGGACTAATCCAAAACAATCTCTATTTGGCTTTGAAACACTATATAAATACGTACAAGTTTATGTTTTACATCAAACAAAAATACAGCAGTCACATTTGTTATGACCTTATTAAGCTACTAATTCCAGCAAAGTATTTACTTAGTAAGTTGGGTTCATCTATGACCAATATAAGGCATCAGCCCTGGCAGTGATGTTTCCTCAAAGCATCTTGCATGCAGGCTGTGTACAGTGAAGTTGCATGAAAGGTAAACAGATAATAATGGAGTGAGGCAGGTCTTTCCCATTATAATGGAAAGGTGGAGGTGGTGGACCAATATTGGAACTCCTGTGTATTCTCCGTTAGATCTTCTTTAACCTTTCTCGTAACCTGAAGAAACTAAGGAGTGAGAGAGATCATCAGAGCGAAACGGCTAAGTAGTAGTAGGCAGGGCTACCTGTGTGTCTTCTGCCAAAAACCTTCCTGAACTGCTCCCAATTTTATCTTGGATATTCCTTTTTCTTCAACAATGAGAACAACTAGTCTATTCTGGTTCTACCTAATTAGGACTCAAATTTCTCATCTATAAAGTGAGAGTGGCAAATTGTTTAATTGCCTTGTATGGTTTAAAAATTCTGTGCTTAAGTTGGAAAAGAGGAATTTGCTATGGATGAGTAAGAGAAAAATTTGTTTTGCTTTGTCTTTGAGATTCTAATTTTTGTTCATAAGATTTTGAACATATTTGGAAGGGAAACTAATTCAGAGATAAGTATTTGATGGCAATAATGCAGAAAAATTAAGATGACAGAAAGGTTAACCTGACTATCAGGAACATAAGACAATGCAGGCGTATCTATATGTCGCTATTGAGAAGTTAGAACCTGTTTATGTAGGTAATGTAGATGTTATTATGTAGATGGGTGAGAGCGTAGGAACCTGTTTTTAGCATAAAATGTATGAGTTGGTATGTTCTTAAATAAAGTGTAGTTGGTGGATTGCTTGACCTCTAATAAGTCTTGACAAAAATTTCGGAAGATTTCAATCAGTAGGAGAAACAGCACCTGGATTAACCACATATTGAATAGTTATTAGCTATAATTATATCAAATTTACCTTTATTAATGACTAGAAAAAGTAAGTTCATTATAAATTTATGTTTTAAGACTAACATAAGTTGGCAGAAGGGAGATTGTGCAATTTGAATATTCTTAAATGTTGTTAAGCATGGAATGGCTTATGTTAATGACTAAATCTTAATTGGAAATATTTACATGTACAACTTCCAAGTAACTATTTTGATGTTCTTGAAAGTCATAACAATCTCTTAGTAACAATGCAATTGTTATAACAGCTTAGAGGAATGATCAAGTGAGAGCAAGAACAGTATTCCTATAAAGTCAAGTAGATAGCTGCTTCTGTTATTAATGTGTTCAGTTTACCTCATTCCTCCTCAGTGGTCAGACTTTTTTTTTCCTTTAAAATATACTTATTTTAAAAAGTAGATAAAGTCACTACAGATTCTTATGTGTCTCTATAGATTCTTACCTGTATCTTACTTTACTCCTAAGTTTTTGTAGCAAGAATTGCATTTTAAAAGAATATCACATATTGTCACCATTAGCTAACATTCATTATAGTGGTTCAGAGTACAAGTCCTGATGTCAGGTGGGTTAGACACATCTGTACTTAATCTTGGTTTGGTAATGATAGGTGTAAAGGTCCTTAATTGTGGTTTCTTGTTGCAAGACAAAGTTGGAAAGGCATCCATTCCCTTTATTGAATTTTGTGTAGTATTACCTTGTCAACATTTGAACATATGGGAAATGAAAAATGACAAAGATCATAATTTATTTTAACTGCTACTTGTAATTAAAGTCTGAAAATATTGCTGTCTTTGTTTATGATGAATACTAAATTTAAGCTAAGTTATAAGGTATGCTGTTTGGAAATATGGAAGATACAAGAATGAAGCAGATAACAAGTTTATGCTTGTATTTCCTACTGATGAAGACTTTTCAGACAAGTTATTTCCGTGGGTAGGTGATGTCACTCTGCATGTATATATACACTTAATACATTTTGCATGATTATACATGTAGGAGTGGTACAATTTTGACTTGACTGTTGACCTGTTGGCTCTATTTGGGGGTGGGGTGGGGAATGTGAGGCCAAGAGGCTCTGAATGGTATTAGTGCTATATATATATATATATAAAAATTTAAAAATAAATCACTAAAATAATTTGTTGCAAACACCTAATAAAACAAAACCCTTTTAAAAATAGAATATATGGTCAAATAGTCAATATTGTACTTGGCCCTCATATCTTCTGCACCCAAGTATTTGCACTCAGACAGTATCTTGATCCCATAATAATCATTTTGAACTCTGACGAATACTCTATAGAATGATACAACTTTCTTTTCTTTTTTAGAAAAGAAAAATCTCAAACATGAGCCAATATTATACTATTTGAACTAAAACCCATTACCAACTAATGTAAGGCCACATGATTGAATTTTTATAGTCATTAATGAATTGGATTTACCCTTTAGGGGAACTAGAAATTGTTTTTAGATAGTCAACTAAAATTGTCATGATCGTCAGAAATTCATATTGTGACATGATGTCTGTTCTTTATATAGTGGCATCTAACAACTCATTTGCTTTTATGTTTGGTCATTTTTATTTTAAAATTTGCTACATAACCTGTGGTTTGGAAGCTTAGTTTTTAGGACTAAACACTCCCAAGTGTGTTCCATGTTTTTGTTCAGTGACAATTTACACAATGGATGTTTATATTAAAACAGTAATCCTTCATTGTGTTACATTTTTATGATTCATTGGCATATGTATACCTTCATAGTCAAGAGTTTTATAAACCATGTTTAATACTCATTTGTTGGGTGATATTAAAAGTATTTATGGAGATTTGGTTTGCCTGCACTTCATAAATAGCTATTAAGTGAGGAACACCATTCCTCTATTTCTGCTTAATTCTAAAATGAGGGTTATAGAGGGATTTCTTAGTTGAATGAAAACTTTGTTTTTGCTTTTTGTTGTTAGTAAAGGGTAGTATTAGCATTTTAAAGCATGTGTCTATTCTGTAAGCATGAACATTGTTATTTAAGCATGAATTGGTGCAGTGTAATTACTTTGGAATTCAGCTTCCCTTTTCAGCTAGTTAGAGTGATTTAGGGGTGGAAGGATTCTCTCATTTTTCCAATAAGAACTTTAACATCTTTCTCTAAAATCACCTGTCAGATTTCATAATATTTATTTGGAGTGTGAGCTGGTTGTCTATTTTAGGGAAAAGAAAATATAAATATCCCTCACAAGACATTCAAAGCAAAATCCTGAAAATGGGTTTTGTGTATTGTCTTTTTGTAGAATGTTGTAAAGTGTTTATATCACTGTTACTATAAAAGAGCTTTACTGAAAATAGGTAAATTAGTTGAGTAGAGCTCTAGTATTAACCTTTTTTCTTTAGTAAGTAGGAAAGTATAGATTTGATTTTCTTCTCTAAATCTACTAGGGACTTTCAGTATTAGCTACCAAGAGAAAGAAGTAGATTTATTCTCTTAAACATATATAAATTGGGTTTTAATAGTTTGCATCAGTTTTTTCTTTCAAGAAATTAGTTTCACTTTCTCTGTGGAGTCATCCCCTTTTTCTTAAATTCATTGCTCTTTAAGAATATGATGAGAATTCAATGTTACATTGTTCAGTAAGTCTTGTCTTCTGTTCTTCATAATAACACTCCTTTTCCTCCTTCCAAAATGTGTCCCTCATCTTTGTAAGCTCAAGTTACCTTTTCCACTTTCACATCATGTACAAAATACTAGATGTGTAAAGTGCAGCTTCTCTGATCAGATAGAATAATAAAGTAAGGGGAACTGGCAATTAGAGGGTTCTTAATTAGTTTCAGAAGAATTTTTCACCCCACAAGTTAGATACAAGTATACATTTTCTTTCCTCCCTAGATGGACCTCCAGTTGTAGCTCATTATGATATGTCTGACACCAGCCCTGACCCAGAAGTGGTAAATGTGGACAATTTATTGGCGGCTGCAGTAGTTCAAGAGCACAGTAATTCTGTAGGCGGCCAGGACACGGGAGCTACCTGGAGGACCTGCGGGCTTCTAGAGGAGCTGAATGCAGAGGCAGGTTGGTCTCCCTCCCCTCCCCCTTCTCTAATGGTGTAACTTGCATGTGTCCTGGCAGCTGTTTTCCTTGTAGTGGACCCTGCTGGAGAGAGCAGGCCATACCAGAGACATCTGGCATTGAATGATTGTGACTATTCAGGCTGCCACTTGTAACTGAAAAGCATGTCATTTTTCTTCTCTAATCAGAAGGAAGCAATAATATATAAAACATTCATTATAGGTATCAGTAAACTTCAGTAGGTGTATTTGTTGAGTGGAAAATATCCCACATATGCAAAAACAGCTCAGATACCCTCATGTTCTTTGGCCAGTTCTTACCTCATGTAACTCTAAGATAGCAACTTCGCACCTTGGACAGGGAGCTGTTGAAAGTCCTGGTGGGACTATTCATTTGCAGTGCTGCTGCTGTTTCTTCTGCCTCTTGCTGTGGGGTGTCCCTGTTAATTCTTCTTAAGTAAGTTCTCATTTGTCTTTTTCAGCCCTTTTCTTTCCATTTCTGTTTCTGTTATTTCAGGGAAAAATCTTTGTCTTGCATTATTTATTTAGTTTCTGTGATTATTGTTTAGAGTGATATTTATCCACTGAAAAACCCACTGCTTTTACCTTGGAAAATCTTTCATGGTGCCTCCAGATCTCTTTCAATATTTTCCTTAAAACTCTTTCAGCATTCTAATTTAAACCTTCTTTTAAAAGTATCAGTACTTGAGGCTGGCAGGTGGTATGGTGGTTAAGGGCACTGGACCCCCACATGGCCAACCACGGTTTGAGTCCTGGACCTGGTGACTTCCTTTCTCACTTTCTCTCTCTCTGTCCCTCTCTGGTCAAATTAAGATAAATAAATAAATAATTTTAAATTAAATAATTTAAAAAAAGTATTAGCACTTAACATTTAGAAAAGAAGGGAAGGAGTTAAGAGATTGCTTATGTAGTATGTATTTTCTTCAGTGTTATTGAAGGATTATAATGTGTTACTTAAAATTAAATGTTGATTTTGTAAGGTAATCTCATAGCTTAATCATTACATATAATGTTATTTTTATAAAACTCAGTTTGATATGGGCTGACAGGTGGTGTGGTGGTTGAAGTGCTGGACTCCCACATGGCTGACAGTGGTTCAAGTCATGGACTTGGTGACTTACTTCCTTGCTTTCCTTTTCCTCTGTCTCTGGTCAAATTAAAGAAGAGGCTAATAACAACAAATTGAATTAAATAAATAAATGCTTCTTTAAAAAATTAGTTTGATATTACAAAAATGAGTTGTGGTTTAGAACTTGTTTGTTTTAAAAATAGGGTCTTGGGGTCAGCAGGTGGCATGGTGGTTAAGGCGGTGGAGTTCCCACATGGCCGACTGGGGTTCAAGTCCCAGACCTGGTGGCTTGCTTGCACATACACATGCACATTCCCTCTTTCTCTCTCTTTCTTTGGCAAAACTCATGCAAATAAATAAATAAATACTATTAAAAGAAAACAGGGTCTTGCTATATCATAGTCCTCTTGCCTCAGCCTTCCAAATAGCTAAGACTACAGGTGCTGTTATGGTGAGCTGGAAATCAAACCTGATCCTCCCATGTGACCTCAGTCTGCTGAGTAGCAATGCCAACCAGTATGCACTATCATGGCTTGACTGAGTTTAGAACTTTTTATTGAGGGGGCCACCAGGTGGCGTGGTGATAAAGGCATCTGGATTCCCACATGGCTGACTGCGATTTGAGTCCTGGACCTGGTGACTTGAAACTCTCACTGGGTACATGTATGTGCTTGTCCAAAGTCCCAAGAGGAGAGTGAAGGAGAAGGAGTTGAGGCATAACCACCTCACTTTGGGGGGGAGGGATTCTCACTTTCTCTCTCTTTGTCTCTCTCTAGCAAGTATATGTTCCCTATGGCAAAAACCTAAAAAACAAAAGTTTATTTATTTATTTTGTATTGTGGGTATATTAGCGATATTTGTCAGCCTTCTTCCCCTTCCCAAATAATTATTTATTTATTTAATTCCATTTGTTATTACTATTTTTTAATTTGCCCAGAGAGAGAGAGAGGGAGGGAGGGAGAGAGAGAGAAAGAAAGAGAGAGAGAGAGAGAGAGAGAGAGAGAGAGAGAAAGCAAGAAAGCAAACCTTCAGGTCCAGAACTGGAACTGTGGTCGGCCATGTGGGAATCCAGCACCTTTAACCACCATGCCACCTGCTGGCCCTCAGCTTTCTTTTTTAATAATTATTTATTTTTTCTTTTTAAAATTTTAATCTATTTTTTAAATTTACATTTAATCACTATGTATCTTTACAGTGTACAACACTGGTTTTTCCATCACAAATATGGTGCGTATCAGTCAAGACAAAGACACATTACCATTATCAGCAAATAACTTTATTTTTGTGTCATTTAAAATATATTTTTTCTTCCTCAAAATAAAACTTTAAATTGAGACAGTACCACTGATGTTCAAATGTTTTACTGAGAATTTGGAAATCTCTAGGAGGATGATACATTGTACCCAGAGAAATCATTTTCTTTTCCCTTTTTCTTTCCCTCCTAGGTTTCAAATCATCCTATTTGTTAGGGATTACAGACACCTGTGCCTCAGAGCCTCCTGTGCTACAGAGTAGGTTTACCAAAGTTCTCCCCAAGAAGACTGAAGACAGAGGTGGGGTTTCACACAGAAAGGATCCTCCTACTTACAGTAGAAAAATAGAATTGCTGTTGTAAATAAAGTAACGTATATGAGTAGTTTTCAAGAAGTTCATAGAAAATGTGCATTATGAAAAACTTACACATAGATTTCAAATTTTTTTGCACCAAAATAAACTCATACATTGGTTCCAATTTTCCACTAAACTTTTCTAAGTCCTTTCATATACTTTAGGGGAAATCTTTGGGGGATTATTTCCCATTAGGGATATTATACTGTTTATCACGATTTCTTTTATAATGGCCATTTCTGAAACACCATAGGATTTCTGCTTATATTTAAATTAAATAATTTAAAAAAAGTATTAGCACTTAACATTTAGAAAAGAAGGGAAGGAGTTAAGAGATTGCTTATGTAGTATGTATTTTCTTCAGTGTTATTGAAGGATTATAATGTGTTACTTAAAATTAAATGTTGATTTTGTAAGGTAATCTCATAGCTTAATCATTACATATAATGTTATTTTTATAAAACTCAGTTTGATATGGGCTGACAGGTGGTGTGGTGGTTGAAGTGCTGGACTCCCACATGGCTGACAGTGGTTCAAGTCATGGACTTGGTGACTTACTTCCTTGCTTTCCTTTTCCTCTGTCTCTGGTCAAATTAAAGAAGAGGCTAATAACAACAAATTGAATTAAATAAATAAATGCTTCTTTAAAAAATTAGTTTGATATTACAAAAATGAGTTGTGGTTTAGAACTTGTTTGTTTTAAAAATAGGGTCTTGGGGTCAGCAGGTGGCATGGTGGTTAAGGCGGTGGAGTTCCCACATGGCCGACTGGGGTTCAAGTCCCAGACCTGGTGGCTTGCTTGCACATACACATGCACATTCCCTCTTTCTCTCTCTTTCTTTGGCAAAACTCATGCAAATAAATAAATAAATACTATTAAAAGAAAACAGGGTCTTGCTATATCATAGTCCTCTTGCCTCAGCCTTCCAAATAGCTAAGACTACAGGTGCTGTTATGGTGAGCTGGAAATCAAACCTGATCCTCCCATGTGACCTCAGTCTGCTGAGTAGCAATGCCAACCAGTATGCACTATCATGGCTTGACTGAGTTTAGAACTTTTTATTGAGGGGGCCACCAGGTGGCGTGGTGATAAAGGCATCTGGATTCCCACATGGCTGACTGCGATTTGAGTCCTGGACCTGGTGACTTGAAACTCTCACTGGGTACATGTATGTGCTTGTCCAAAGTCCCAAGAGGAGAGTGAAGGAGAAGGAGTTGAGGCATAACCACCTCACTTTGGGGGGGAGGGATTCTCACTTTCTCTCTCTTTGTCTCTCTCTAGCAAGTATATGTTCCCTATGGCAAAAACCTAAAAAACAAAAGTTTATTTATTTATTTTGTATTGTGGGTATATTAGCGATATTTGTCAGCCTTCTTCCCCTTCCCAAATAATTATTTATTTATTTAATTCCATTTGTTATTACTATTTTTTAATTTGCCCAGAGAGAGGGTGAGGGAGGGAGGGAGAGAGAGAGAAAGAAAGAGAGAGAGAGAGAGAGAGAGAGAGAGAGAGAGAAAGCAAGAAAGCAAACCTTCAGGTCCAGAACTGGAACTGTGGTCGGCCATGTGGGAATCCAGCACCTTTAACCACCATGCCACCTGCTGGCCCTCAGCTTTCTTTTTTAATAATTATTTATTTTTTCTTTTTAAAATTTTAATCTATTTTTTAAATTTACATTTAATCACTATGTATCTTTACAGTGTACAACACTGGTTTTTCCATCACAAATATGGTGCGTATCAGTCAAGACAAAGACACATTACCATTATCATCAGCAAATAACTTTATTTTTGTGTCATTTAAAATATATTTTTTCTTCCTCAAAATAAAACTTTAAATTGAGACAGTACCACTGAATGTCTTGAATTCTTCCTTTCATAATCTTTGGCTGGAACTAAATAAAAGTTACTTGTTTGTTGACGTTCCGATTAATTTATTGCAGCTAATTTTGGAGTGGAAAGTGGATCTAGTTTTCTTTATTCATGATAGAGTGAGTGTGTGTGTGCACAGGTTAGTGAGTGACAGTGAGAGACAAATGAGCACCCTGTACAGGGTTTGGTCACGTTGCAGTCCTCTTCCTAGCTGTCCCATCAGTGCTTGGGTGCTCACGTGCATGTGTCTAGTGGGTTTCAGGCTGACCAAGACAGGAATTCGAACCACAGTTGTCATACCAGATTTGGCTTCTCTTCAGGAGTGCATTACCACCATGCAAAGAGACAACTCTGGATTTAGTTTTGCTTTAGTTGCTAATTGCGTGTTTGATTTTGAACTGGTCGTGTCTCCTCTGGACTTAAGTTTTTATGTG